ATGCCACGTTTATTGGTACGTCCACTAGTTGGTGTTTACTCCTGGCCCATTCATTGTTTGCATGGAGACGTTGCTGTTTTAAAACCAACAAGACCTGGTGAATATTATTCTAATGATATATAAAATATATCCTATGTATTGCTCAAAAAACCAAACACAGACAGACACACAGAAAATCTTATGAAAAACAGACCTGCACCTAATTATATGCATTATATTTTTGGGGTGGAGGGAAGGAGCAGAGTATATTTTGTTGTGAACATTTACCGTATTATAATATTTCAGCTGACTAACACTTGCAAATTAACTATTACCTTCCCAAATATTACCCTTACTAACAACATTAATCTTGATCTATATGGATTATTATCCTTATGATTTAGTTTTTTCCCTCCACTGGAATAATAAATTGGATTTTTTTAAAGTGTAAGGAGGAATGTATAAATGAACGTATAAAGCTATTGTTTAAATAATGACGCACACTTTTCCTTGCAAGGCCTCATAAGGCACGGTACAGAGTTTTTTTTAGGGTAAATACTCCCTAAATAAAAATGTTATTACCGTTAAAGTGCTTGACTTGTTTGGAAGATAAAAGCACAAGTATAAAACATTTTTTGAAAAATAGGTGTGAGGGGTGATCTACTTTAAGTCAATGGTATTACAAGAATCACATTTGCAGATGTATTCTTTTTAGAATAATGAATGTAAACCTTTTTAAATGAGCCCCAAATGATGTGCATGATATAAAATTGCCCATTGGAGTGGTCTGGGTGCCAACTCCCACCACCCTTAACCCTGCAAGTGTAATTATTTTCATAAACTGCAAAATATACCTTGCAGGGTTAAGTCCTCCTCTAGTGGCTGTCAATCAGACAGCCACTAGAGGGACTTCCTTGTTCTTAGAACATGAAAAGTGTGTTATATGACGCTGGACGTCTTCATGCTATGTGTGGACCTCCAGCGTTGCCGAAATCCCCATAGGAAAGTATTGAATGATGCTTTCCTATGGAGAAGTCTAATGCGTGTGCGCTGCCATTGCCGCGCATGTGCATTAGGTCTCCCTTGCCGGCTGACGTCGGCGGGGGAAGAGAGTAGGCGGAGCCTGACCCAGCACCAAGGGACATCGGCGCTGGACTCCGGTAAGTCACAGATGGGGTTTTAACCCCTTCAGCAACTTCGGATGGGGGCTGGGAGGGAGAGGGGCACTCTACGGTCCTGCAGTGCCAGGAAAGCAAATATGTTTTATGGCACTGGATAATCCCTTTAATTGTAAATTTCACAATGACCCATTCTTAAATTTACTATAATACAAGCTAAATAAAGGAATATTAAGTGCATGATATATCTGGCTTTACTAGTCTGCTCTAGTTTGGTGTACCAACGCAGAGGTTAAAAACTAGTTCAGGGAGTAGAACCAATGAGGTATAAGTGTAATCAGAATGAATGTGCTTCTATTATCTCTGTACTTTCTCTAGATGGAGTAAATCCTAGAGCTTTATTGGCTAAACAATTGTATTAGTGTACAACCTTTTCAAACTACTCGTTGTCTTGTCAACAACATGCCTGAACAAGATAGCTAAGTGGTATTGAAGCTAATAGAACTCGGACAGTCAATACATATCTTATCTGTGCTAGAACTGTTTCCTTAAATATTTCTTAACTAAAAGAGTAGAACTCTAAATGTATTTTAATGGCTCAGGTTTACTGTAGCTGCTACGGGTCATCTTATAAGTGAAATGTGATAGCTGTCTGACTGTTACTATTTTATGTAATATAATTGACCTGCAACATATTGGTTAGGAGGGTATGCTGATAATGTTGCCTGACTTTCAGAAGATTTATACAGAGAAATCAATGTTCAATGTCTTTCTCTTGGCTTCCTCTTATAAAACCATCACAATACATAGTGTAAATCACTTTGCCAGTTTTAATGAGACATAGCTTACTGTATTTCTGTATTTTTTCTTTTAAATGTTGGAAAACGTGCCCCATGTATTATTATTATTTTTTTTTGTAGATACATATGGATAGGAATGACAGAGGAGTAGTAATATAATACAACTGCTCACAATATATCTTAATGCAATTAATGGAATTGTAAACATAATAGTGCTTATAGTACTTTAAGTGCTTATCAAATACTAATAATTAATAATGTAATTTCTGGTATTATGACAAAAAAAATTGTTACTACTCTGTTATCTTCAGATAATTGATATAACCAATTTTATGTAGACATTTTTAAATTGACATCAAGTTCCAGGGGAGATTTTTATTTAAAAACAAAATTGGATTAATTTATGGGTCAAGTCACAGGGCTGAATTCTAGACTTGTGAACAGTAACACAAAATTAGGTTCTGCTGAATCGATTGACCTGGAAAACTATTTTTTGGGGAGGAGTCAAGATTTGTCTGTCTTGTAAGTGTTGTGAGAACAAGAATTCAGATGAACAAACATTGTGTGGAAATAAATGTACTGATGCCAGTCAGTGTACTGCAAAATATAAATGTTTGCTGCCTTTTTCATTTGATTCACAGATCAAGTGAAAAAAAAGTAACCAATAGATGGAAAAAGAGAGGAAGCAGCAAAAATAAATAAATCTATATGTGTATATTCATAGATTATATATTTATTTAACATATAATAGATGAATATATAAATATAGGTTTTTGTACCGTTCCTCCTTTGTTCCCTCTTTGGTTTCTTCTCACTTGGTCAGTGTATACAATTAACATTTAGTGGCTATCCTCTAACCATCAAGCATGCACATTTAACCGTTTTTTTTTTAGGTGGGGCACCATGATGGGAACTCAGAATCACAAATGTCTCATTCATTGCCCATTTTGCTTGAGTTATGATTTATCCAGCAATTCAGTAGAGACCAAATGCACAAGTCTACTGAATTCTAAGAGATAAAACTATTTCTGGTAACTGAAAAAAAAAGCTTGCAGAAATATTGTAATTGGCTAACTCAAGACAAGGTGCTGCAACAACTAAAGAAAGTTAATATAAACAAAGCTCCAGGGCCTGATGGTATTCATCCACGAGTACTTAAGGAACTAAGTGTAGAAATAAGTGAACCTCTGTTTTTAATCTTTCAAGATTATTTTCTTTCAGGAAGTGTTCCGGAGTATTGGAGGGAGGCAGATGTAGTTCCTATATTCAAAAAAGGGTTCAAAATTCTTGCATGGAAATTATAGACCTGTGAGCTTAACTTCTGTGGCTGGAAAAGTATTTGAAATGTTATTAAGTGATAATATTTAAGAATTCCTTGAGAAGAATGTGGTTATCAGCAAAAATCAGCTGATTGCATTCTACGAAGAAGTAAGTAGAAGTATAGATCAGGGTGTTGCAGTGGATGTGATCTATTTGGATTTTGCCAAGGCATTTGATACAGTTCCACACAATAGATTAGTGTTCAAACTCAAAGACATCAGTCTAGATTTTAATTATTGGTCTTGGGTAGAACATTGGTTTAAAAACAGAGTACAAAGAGTTGTCATTAATGGTACATTTTCAAGCTGGACAGAGGTAGCAAGTGGTGTCCCTCAGGGTTCTGTTCTGAGACCCCTTCTATTTAAACTGTTTATAAATGATCTTGAAAAAAACATTGAAAGTCTTGTTTCAGTGTTTGCAGATGGCACAAAACTCTGTAAAGTAATACAATGTGGGCAAGATATTACTTTGCTGCAGAGGAATTTAGACTGGGGGACTGGGCACTCAAATGGCAAATTAAATTTAATGTAGAATAATGCAAAGTTATGCACGCCGGCGTAAAGAATGTACAAGCAACTTAATGGAAGCGAATTAGAGATAACAACACACGCTCTTTATAAATCACTGGTAAGACCACATCTTGAATATACTGTGCAATTTTGGGCACCTATTCTACAGAGAATATTATGGCACTAGAAAAAGTGCAGAGGCAGGCTACAAAATTAATAAAAGGAATGGAACATATCGGCTATGAAGAAAGGTTAACAAATTTAAACCTCTTTAGTTTAGAAAAACGTTGCCTCAGAGGGGATATGATAACATTATACAAATATATTCAGGGCCAATACAAACCATTGTGTGGAAATCTATTCACAAACCGGACTTTACATAGGACACGGGTTCATGAGCTTAGATTGGAAGAAAGAAGATTTCGCCTAAGGCAAAGAAAAGTTTTTTTTACCGTAAGAACAATAAGGATGTGGAATGCTCTGCCTGAAGAATTGGTTTTATCAGATTCCGTACAGATGTTCAAACAGCAACTAAATGCATTACAAAACCAGAATTTTCAATGATTTAATTTGTCAACTGTAGGGTAATAGCTTCTTGATCGAAGTAAAAATCTGACTACCGCTCTGGGGTCAAGAAATAATTTTTTTCCTAGTTTGTTGCAAAATTGGAAGTACTTCAAACTGGGGGTTTTTTTTGCCTTCTTTTGCATCAACAAAAAAACAAATCTGAGGAAGGCTGAACTTGATGGACGCAAGTCTCTTTTCAGCCTACGTAACTATGTAACTATAAAACAATTGCTATTTATATCTTAAAGCAGGACTATGGTTATTTTTTGCTTTTGTTTTTTTTCTCTATATGTCCCTTTTATCTTAAAAAAAAATATACTCCTCTCTTTCCTTGCCACTTGCCTTTATATATATTTAACATGTTTTTTTCCATTATGTCTTCTTACGTTTATTTCAATATCTGGATGCCACTATTTTGTAGGAACATACTTCCCGGCAAGTTGGCCAGAATGGTGGCTTTCAAATCAGCACTAAAGCTTCATCAAGTATTATCAATATCACCACTTAACCACTACTTGATGATCTTTAAATAGTGAAAACTACTTGAAAGCAACTGCTATAAACAACAAACCTGGATGAGTTCTGACAGGAACTCTATATGTAAGAATAAGTAGGCATCTTGTGAATCTCTATTATTGTGGACTTTTGCTCTTCAATAAAAGGCCAAAGATAAAGCTAAAGATAGCGTGGAAGCTGGGCCCGATCAGGAATCAGGATCACCCTTATCTTCTCTAAATACACCTCATGTGCAGGCAGCAGTGAAGCAAGTAGAGACCCAACTCACAACAAACCTTATGCAGAAAATGCTGGATGAGGCAGTTAACAAGATGCAAATAACAGTAGAAGCAGCTATTGCCGATCTAAAAGAAAGTTTTATAGACCTAGATGCTCGGACTTTATACCTAGAGGGGAAGGTTAATGAGTTCACTGTAACTTATGCATCGGTGGGAGACTGGCTGGATGCAATAGACGATAGGATACTCCAACATGAATTAAAGTTAACAGATGTGGAGGATAGATCCCGGCGTAATAATATTCGGATACGCGGATCCCTGAAGAAGTTGCAATACAGGACTTGGAATCATATATGAGAGGTTTATTTCTGACCATCTTGCCAGACATACCACCAGAAATGCTCTTAGTCGACCGTATACACAGACTTGCTAGACCACAGCATTTGCCTACATCTACACCAAGAGATGGGCTATTAAGACTTCATTATTATCATGTGAAGGACAAGATAATGCAGACTCACAGAAGTAAGGGGAAATTGACTGGGAAGTATGAAGATGTCTTTTTATTTACAGACCTCTCGGCAGAAACACTAAGATGCAGAAGGGCTTTTCAAGAAATACTAGAGACACTTCGATCTAACAATATTCCCTACAGATGGAGCTACCCAGTTAAGCTGGTTATCATGAGAGGTGGGAAATCTACTACAATGGCATCACCGGAGGAAGGTATAAAGCTTCTACAAGAATGGGGTTTAACCAGGAACCCTCAAGATGATCCTATGAAAACCAGCTAATGTAACGGTGACATGAGAAAATGGAAGTTCCAGCCAAGGTTCCTGACAAGAATGAGGAATCCTAGACTGAAAGTGGACTAATAACAAGTTCCTGAGATCCAGCAAGGGTTTGATATGATTAAGATTATTGATATTACATATATTATTGGATATTATTTGATATAATAATTTTTTTTTCTACTTGATAATTTAATTTGACCTATTTTAATTTATTCTCTGTCCTATTTGATAATGTATCTGGTAAAGGTATAGTATAAAGGTATAGTATAATACAGTCCTGGTGTAGGGAATGTATACAAGTTTTGTTTCTTGTTATTATTTTATGCTATAGGTACAGTGTGATATGCTAATGACATATACGGATATATAAGCTACTAGATAGACTACAATAAGGTTATGTTATTGGTATACAAGCCACTAGATATGTTAAATGGCTAAATAGATGTTTCATTTAGTTAATTGGGTAAAGGGTTAAAGGGCTAAAATGCATGCAATAGAAATAGCTATTCAAGCTATGTAAACAATCTAACTAGCGTTTTTTGAATAGAAGCCTTTATATGCGTATATAATGCAGGTTATGTGCATAAAGCAATTTGTTTAAATATAAAGGGACTCTTCCCCTTCCCCTTTTTTCTTTTTTTTTTTTTTATAATTTGAATTAAGGTGATAACTCATTTGGATATGGGGCGGCTTTTAAGGGCATAACGAGAATATAGGATAAAGAAGAGACAGTTAAATATTTGTCAGGTACTGTAGTAATTGAATCTACAGACAATTAAGGTATTCCCTTACTAGCTATTAATGCGGTGCTTTGGTAATTGTGAATATTATACTATAGAAATGTTAGATATGCCTATTTTTAATATTCAATAGAATTATACCCACTTGCGGCTCTTCTAAACTATGGCACATTTAAAGGAACACTATAGTCACCTAAATTACTTTAGCTAAATAAAGCAGTTTTAGTGTATAGATCATCCCCCTTCAATTTCACTGCTCAATTCACTGTCATTTAGGAGTTAAATCACTTTGTTTCTGTTTATGCAGCCCTAGCCACACCTCCCCTGGCTATGATTGACAGAGCCTGCATGAAAAAAAAAACTGGTTTCACTTTCAAACAGATGTAATTTACCTTAAATAATTGTATCTCAATCTCTAAATTGAATTTTAATCACATACAGGAGGCTCTTGCAGGGTCTAGCAAGCTATTAACATAGCAGGGGATAAGAAAATCTTAATTAAACAGAACTTGCAATAAAGAAAGCCTAAATAGGGCTCTCTTTACAGGAAGTGTTTATGGAAGGCTGTGCAAGTCACATGCAGGGAGGTGTGACTAGGGTTCATAAACAAAGGAATTTAACTCCTTAATGGCAGAGGATTGAGCAGTGAGGCTGCTGGGGCATGTTCTATACACCAAAACTGCTTCATTAAGCTAATGTTGTTCAGGTGACTATAGTGTCCCTTTAAAAGCTAAATAGATAACCCACATAGTTATGGAGTAGCCTATAGGGGCCTAATGGAAATACAGGATGTGTAAGTTATACTTTATAAGATAAATTGGCACTATAGTATTCTAACCTACAGCTACATAAGAGGGCATTCAATGTATCAGGGGAAGGCATAAGACTGAGTTGACAACTATCATTAGTCAAAAGTAGCTGGTAAAGGGGCTGTCACAGAATGTACTTTTTAACCCTAGCCTGAAATGGCTCAATTAATTGGATTTAATATAAGGCTCCTCTATGCATTTAGATGCTATTCCTCATCTTCCCTACCTAGCAGAGGAAAGAGAAGGAAAAATAAGGAAGATGTGAATTATTTACCTATTTTATTATTTATTTTTACTTTATTATTATAAATTTAAGTTGTTTTTTTTTTCAACTAGCTCTTATGGGAACCCGCACAGGGCTTATAAACCTTGCCAAGGTTCAACTAAAGGGCTGTATATATTCCAATTGATAAGATGTAATTATTGGAAATACTTGATTAACAGGATAATTTATTTAATAATACTGCTGAAGGAGTCCATTATAGATATATATAAAAGTATTAGTTTAGTTGATAATCATTAAGAGTTGTTAAGCTAAGTTTTTCTAGTTCTAGTCCTCTCCCTCCCTCCCCAGCCGCATGTCTATTTAAGTGGCCCTTTATTGAAAACAGAGGGGCCAGCGCTAGGATAGTGCCGGGCCTGCATAGACCGGCAGGGGATGTCCTGTGACCTCCCCTGCCGGCCTCGGCCCATGGCCACCGCGGCCCACCAGGCATTTGCCCGGTGTGCCCGATGCCCAGTCCGGGCCTGACCATAGCCACTACAGCATGTTGCAGCAGTTATGGTGAAAGGAATTTCTTGGCACCATTCCATAGTTGGTAGTCAAACCACACACACAAAATGTTTGACACTTACTTTGATCACCAGATTTGATATCTTAAAGGGACAGTTTGGCAAAAAGCAGGACATTCCCAGCCCCTCTACAGCAAATAATGCAGAATTTAATTTTTTTTACTAAAGTAAAAGAGTGCATTAAACCAAATACCAGTATAAAAGACTGTAGTGGGTATCGTGCTTACTCTGTTCTTTTAACCCTTAGTGAATATTTATATATTAAAAGCTGTGATGCACGTCAAATCTATTCAAGCAAAATAAATGAATTCAAACAACAGAGATTATACTAATTCTTAAAAAGCTTTCTGTTTGCCAGCATCATACTATGGGTTATCTGCAGCTGTTAAAGTCATTGTATACAGTAAGCTGTAACAAATCCAACATTACACTCTCAGCCAATCAAGATAATAAAAACATCTTGGCACACTGAGGCATGCACCTGTTAGCTGTTAACAAATGAAATGAATTGTGTAATGTATTCTGTTAGGGAGCTAGCCAACAATATTACACTGACACTTACTGCCTTTCTGTAACGTATATTACAGATATCTCTGGCTTACTCAGTAAACAGTGATTAGCAACTAATATAGAAATCACCAAATCATCTATTTTCACATGTATAAGAGCAATCCATCATGCAGTTTCCATGTAAACTATTGCCATTTTCTTGCAGCTAAGGCATGTGTTAACATTGTGTTTCTCAAGTCATGTCTTTGGTATATTTGGATTTAATGGCTTGTTGATTCACGCTTGCAAGCATGCATTTTTCTTGCTCAATTTGCCAATATATACCAAACAAACTCTTCAGTAGTAGCAATACATCACTCTATACCTACTACAGGCACTATGGAGGGCTAAAAATCTCAAGATGATCAGAATTAGTGGAATTAAATGTCATGACAAGAACTACCATTCCTCAGTATAATTAACTGTGTTAGGGTTCGGCATCCTTTTTTCTGTCGCACACATACAAGTTAAAAGGATTTGTGTGAGGGGCAAATATAGTAAAGGGGGAAATAAGTCGGTTGTGGTGTGCCGGAACCGACGTCGTGGTAGGCCTGTAATAAAAGAGGGCCCACCCATGAGATGTAATGAAAAGTATAAATTCGAGGGAGTGGAGGGTGGGGACATGCGAATCGCTAAAAATACGTACGAGATGGAGGAAGGTGAGTAGGGGGTTTAAGTAGGGAACATGCCCCTCCCACAACTGCAGGCCAAGCCTTTACATGTATCCACACATCTGATAAGAACTAACCATGTTGACATATATTTTAATACAATTTACAGTCCAGACATTTTAGTAGCGATCAGAACTACTAAGACACATATTCTAGTTGCTGACAAGGAACGTTCCAACAGTATTCACTATTGGAAGAAAAAACAATTAGTAAAGAGTGCTGCAAAAATAATATTAACAAATCAAAGTAAAAGTTAAAGCAAAGATTATAGAAAAGGGCGAACAGCTTAATGGATTCTAAGAGAGCCCATACCACACTATCAATAAACATATAAAGGAGCCTCTAATCGCAAAACAAAACAAAATATTCTGCTACTAGCGACTTCTGGCTCTGGAATCATGGTTAGGTGTTTTTTCTTTTGGTTCCTAGACCTTTACTAGATCCAATCCCATTTTTTCTTTAAGCGTTTTTTTCTATCTGCTAAGACTTTCAGTGCAAGCAGATCTAAAAAGTAGATGTTTCGAAGCAGATACGCACGGCGAGAGTACAATATCCACTCGAGATATTCAGCTTGTGACTAGAACTTACAGAGCAGACTTACCAAGCAAACATTCTAAACCTACAGCACATACATTCCAGTCAATAGAACCTGTATAGACATTCTGATAAATAGAACCTACAATGCAGGCATTCTTGTAAGAAAATTTGTAGAAACTACCCAAGAGTTAACTTTCGTGCATTCTCTAACCGTTTTCTACCTCTTCCATGTTTTTTCATCGTGGGTGTTCTTTTCTAAAATACTGTCTATACTTTTTCAGAACTGAAGACATTAAATTTGCCACATTTGCACATTTCTTATTTTGTGAGACTTTGTTTCCACAGTCAGTGTATTTAACCATACATCCTTTTACTGCTGTCTGCTGAGTCAGAACAGACTGTACGCTTTGAATATGGTAGCAACAAAGATTAAGCAAGAAACGCAAAATTGATCCAGATGCAAAC